ATTTCTTAACTCTCGTCTGGGTCTTTTAACAATTTACGTCTTTCCAAAAGGAATAAAATCGAGTTAGCCAGCTACTGAATTATCAGTTGGATCAAGTCTCATTGGAACTCTATCGCGATAAAATTTCACGGACGAGAAAGTGGTGGATTACGAGCAGACTGGAGTTTTCACACGAGCAACCGTACAGAAAATAAACGTAACACGGTGTGAATTTTAAGCCATTGCGCTTTAATAAGCGCTTGTTCGAGTCAGACGACCCGTTTCGCGTTCAATTAACACGTGTCGCGAGAAAATCAATTTTTAGCCGATCCCGGGGTAAAAATAATTATTAACGACACGGCTCAAGTACACGAAAACATACGGATCGTTCGTCGAGTTTCAGTGTGACGCGTTTCAGACGAGAGTTCCAAGATCGTGCGAAAATTCGATGAAACGCGTCCTCTCTACACGGCAATACTCTGTCTCGCTCGATCTCTTCTTCTCCTTTAAAGTTCTTTAATTTGCTGGAACTGGATTATACAAGATGGAAGATAATAATAGGATTCGAGAGAATTAGAATTTAGATGATTTTGCGAAGAGTTTTCTTTATGGAGAAGAAATTAACAGATTCTTTTCTCCGAGACATACGACACCGAAAGATATGAATTTCATCGTGATAAAGATAAAATGATAATCCGGCAGTAATTTAGAAGTTGAACAGTGGTTGTGTTCCGATTGTTAACGCAGGAGGTCGGAAGTTTCGTGGATTCCCGACGGAGCGTTTCCTCCATGTTGGAAATTCCTGGAAACTTGGGAATATTTTTGCTTAAAATAACGGTAACTTTTCAGGAAATCGCGGGCCAGAAACCTTGATAGAGGAATCTCGAGGCACGGTCACGAAGGCAAGTCGGAGTTTCGTTTCGAGCATCTTCTTCAGCAAATTGCTTAGTTTAGAAAAGAAACGTCACGGTCGCGTTATCGATTCAACCTGAAATTCCACGATTCCATGGCGGTGCAGCGCGATGGTCTGATTTGACAAACGCGTATAGAAATTTGAACGAAAGTAACGATTATTTTAATCGAAAGATCCGAAAAAATATCCATTAAAAATGAATTAACTGATACTCTGGTATCCGTTAAGCAATTTTAACGTTAATTTAAAAAGGCAAGTACACGCATGTTTCATTATCGAACAATTCGATTTTCCGAACCACCTCGGTCCCAGTTGGTTCGGAGAAATAACTGACGCTCTAATAAATGACTATCGTATTCTACACACTGAACTTTGCGATCTACACTTTCCTTCGCGCTATATTACGTAGCGTGCACTTTCACTAAACTACGTGTACATTACACGGAACACTCTACAGGGACAAAGATTATCTCTGGTCCAGACAGTGGACTACGCTTTAAAGTATTCGTGACAAAAGCAACGATCCCATAAGAGAGGCAACAAACGTTCCAAGAGCATGTACGCCAGCGGGATGGCGTGAAATAGCGAGGATTCAAGTGGTTGGTCCGGTTGCTTCTGCTCACGGCCACGTTTCACCGCCAGAGACTTGAAAAACACGAGCACGAAGAGCTATTCCAGGCGCTTTGATGACCATACAAAAGAGGCCTGCCGAGAACACATAGGTAGCTCAACAGGTAGCACTGAGAGTACCTTCCTCCCTGGCGTGTTCTCACAGTTCCCACCCTTGCCTTCTTTCTTACTCAACGAGAGCCTCCCCTGTGCCTACACACGCACGTTCCACCTGGGCATTGACACTTCTCAACGCCCTCTCCGCGCTTTGGGAATTTTCAGACCAGTTTCCGAAACGCGACATTCCTGGTCCACCTAGTTTGGCAGAAAGTTCGAATATTGGATAGAAACTTTGTTGCCAATTTAATCTGATATTTCTCTAAATAATATAAAAACTTTGACACAGTTTCGACGTCAAATCGAATCAGCAATGTGATAACTTAACGCCATCATCTTTAATTTCACGTGCATTACGTTATACGTAAATATTTCATCATCGAGCTGCAAAGGTGATCGATTTACCGTGAAATGACCAATGGTGTAAGGACTCCATGTAAGGATACGTCACGAAGAATTCTCGAAGGCAGAAAAACAAGCGCACCAGGTCGAAATATCCTTCGGTTTCTTCCTGCCAATTCTTTTTCCATCTTTTTCATCGGAAAATACTGCATAACCATACAACCAAAGATTATGAACGGCCGACTGAATATTCACTGGCATTGCCAACGGTCAAAGAACGAATTTCCACAGATGTGTTCGAAGAATCGTGATACACCAAGGAAAAAAGGCACTGTCAGCGTTTTCATTATTTCGTAGTCCGGCGAATCGAACGTTCCGCACAGCTTTCGCGTTCGGCGAAAACAACGCCGAATCGTTCGATCGATTCCTGTTTAATTTACCAGCACTCTCGATCGTTCATGATACAACAAAGATGGGTCCTGGAATTGAATTCACGTGGATAACGAGCTAATTAGGCTGATCGAGGTGCAAGTGAAGAACATGTGAAGGAATAATGGCTCGTTCCTTGATTGTACGTGTCATTAAAATGGAGAGCCTTTAATCTCTGGTTCGAGAGAGTCTCGGTTAGTGAATTGGTCGATAATTCACGGCCGAAGCTCGAGTGGTTTCGATTGGCTGAAACACGCTCGTAAAAAGGAGAGCTGCGCAGCTGGTGCAACGCTCTTTTAAACGAATAGAGTCGTTGAGTAAATTAAGCGTAGCAGGTGACAAGGATTTTCATCGGTGAAGGTTTTTTCATTACGCTAACGAGCTCTAACCGAGCTGTATCCCACATTTGATCAGGCTTACGCCGAGGTTCTTAATCTCTTGATCCTACGAATTCTTCAAAGGGAATCCGAGGATTTCCCCTTGTTGCTCGCGCAATGTTATTACCGAATTTCTATTTCGACGGATATGAAATGGCGTGTGAAAGGTTAAACCGACTTTCCGCTCCCTTCCGTGGAAGCAGGAATTTTACCATCAATCCCTCGTATAATTTTCCTTTCGGTTAACGTTCCTTTGATCTCTGCTCTCGAAAAGCCTGCCACATGTTTCCCAAGATTACCGTCCTTCGCTTTTTCCACAGAGAAAAAGAACAAAATGATACATCACTAGTAAATATTCTACGTTTGCCAAAAGATACACGATCGTTCGAACGAGTTATGAAAAGATTAACATTAATTAAATTCCAAAGGCATTGCACAATCACGAAAATCGCCATCGGCGTGACACTTGCGAGGGCTCGACGGCAAAGAGGTCGTCCGGATCGAACGACTTGCCACGACCTCGTTCTGCCTATCCGCGCCGGATCTCGACGTCCGGAAACCATCCCCCGAATTCCCTAAATCGTCTGGTCGACCTTTCTCGTCGGTCGACAGCAGCATGTCCCTGAGCATCTCCAACAATTCCACTTCGTCCTTCTTTCCCAGTTCTTCGATCACGCGGAGAGCATTTAGCATATCCTCTCTCTGTTCCCCGATCTTATCCTCGTACCCGACCAACTTGCAGGATCCTCTGTCCGTCGCTTTCTCGCTATCCTCTTCCTCGTTACCGGACGCCTGTTTTACATTCTCCAACACGGATCCTTCCTCCTCTATGACGTACGTAGCCATCGTGTTCACGCTTCTTCCGGATACTGTGCTATTATTTTCACGCTTCGGCGTATCTTCCTCCTCCTGTACCTTGTCTCCTCCTCTATCCTCTATCTTCTCCAAATTATCTTCGACGTTTCTATTTTCTTCTTCTCGCGCATCGATGGTGGATATAAGAGAGGTTAAGGAAGAACTAGAAGACGAAGGAGAAACTTTCTTCCTCTCGATATCTACTCTGAACGTGGCACCACCTTGAGAAACGTACTGTTCCTTTTCAAGATCCGATCGAGCGGTACATTCGCGGTAAGTGCGGGCTAAATTCGCTGTCTTGTTCGACCGCGTCGTTATCTCCTCGTCTTCGTCAACCGACGTGTCCTCGTTGCCGGAATCGTCTCTTCGCTCGATAATCGCTTTCCTCTGCGAGAATACCGTAGTTGTCACCGTTCCCTTGCGGCTGACAAACAGACTCAGATCTTGCTCGGCTTTTTGGCCGTGCGAGATGACCGACTCGACGACCTCCCAGTGGCTGTTCTCGAGCGGGATCTTGCGGAGGGCGTGCGCCACTTGGTCGATAAGATCGCGGATGTAGGACAGCATCGGGGTATCACCCTCTTCCTCGGTGATCTTCGCCGCTATCTGTAGCTCCTCCAGCGATTCCACGAATCTGCCTAACTTCGCCAGGCTTTGACCTTGAAAAAGAAATCAAAGAAGAATAAATCGGAGCGTTGCGTTGAAAGATGCCAATGATCTGCAGCGTACGATCAAAAGAATCTTCAAACTGGCAACGAGTGCTTGAGATCGCAACGTGAACAAACATCACGCGCTCGCGTAAAGTATTTCAAAATGATTACGGAGAGGAAGAACGAAAAATTCGGAGAAACGAGGAAAAAGAATCTGTTTATGCAATGGATGTGTAAAAATTACGGATAATCGTCTTAGTTAATAACGCGTTATTTACGATTAAAGCAAACGTTGTAATTTTGTCTCCTTCGAAAACGTAGTACGTCCGCCTCTTTTCCTTATCGCTGTGGTCAAATTGCGATACTAATTGTAATTCGAGTGGAACGAGCGGTATCAGCGTTCCCACAGACCAACAACCCGGACTACCTTCGCAACCGTTATCCCTATCGACATTCCGTGCTCTCGGGTGTAAATCGTACTCGCGTGGAAATTGATTTCGGTGTCCGACTATAGCCAGTTCTACCAGAGGTCTGATGTGCTAAATAGGTTCTAAACCACCGGACAGACAAATTGTAGCACAATAGACAATATATAGTAGACCGAGACAATCGCAGATCATCGGATTGCCGACGATTTATTCTTCCATCTTACTAAATTTCTACGACACTTGCGATTTTAATATTCTTCTATGACAGTTGCGATATCACGCGTCATAAGATTGATCCAAATCAAATTGCAAATATAATAAGTTTCAGAGAAAAAATGAATTCCACAAATGCGTACCTAGCAACAGCCTTCCATTAAGCATCCACTTCTTGGAATGGGCCTTCGTTGCCGCTTCCACGCATCTGAAACCCATTTCCATTGCTTTTTCATATTTTCCAGTCTCCAAGTAGCATCTGCCAATCTCGTGTTTGATCCAAGCCACGGGAATCGGTTTGTTCAAGTGCTTGGACAAGTACTCCCATGCCTTGGCCGCTGCGTCGAGGTGTCCAAAGCTGAGATGCACTTTTCCCAAGGTCACCAATGACCGACAGATCTGAACCACGTCCCCGGTACTCTTCGACAAGCGTATCAAACGCGATACGCTACATACTGCCCGATCGTGTCTTCCCATGGCCACGTGGATCAAGGATAAATAGTGATAGGCAGCTATCTGATAGCGACTAGGGTCGTGCAAGCCCTCCGATATCACGAGTAACTCCTGAGTGATCTTCAGAGTGATGGATACTTTTCCAGACTCGAAGGACGCCTCTAGATTCTTCAATGTAGTCTCAGCAAGATTGTTTAATTGTTTGAACAACATCTTGGATCTTGTTAACTGAGTATTGGAGATTCGAGGAGACGGAAGGCTCTTCCAGTAGCTTTTGTGGCTGTCGAAATAGCTAGGGGTTGGAGGAAAGGGCAGTGTTTAATCATTTATTTTGTGGGATCTTTGCCTCGGTCCCTGAAGCGTGGAAATTGAAAATTTTTTCATTTGAGAATTTATCGGCTGATATAATATCAGCCTACCCTAAGTAACGCGATCGTTTTATAATTAGATTGATATGGAAAACTTGGTGGAGAATGATAAATAATTAAAAAAAAAAGGAGTAGGGAAAATTCTAGTCAATTTTAGCTTAAAATTAAATAGAAATTCTAATGCTAATATTAGCAGAAAATCTTGTCAGATATCTTTAGATATTGGAAGATCGAGTTCCTAGACTATTATTATATAAATTAGAGAACAGTAACAAGATAGAACCTATTCCATAGAGCATTGTTTTTATGCAAATGATTTAATTGCCTCGATTCGCATTGAGACGTTCGATTCATTTCCCTGAGGTTCCCATCCCTGTTCCTATTGACGTCAGTCGAGGATCCGTATTCCGAGCCACATTTCGAATCGTTATCCCGACATTTCGAATACTTTAATCATGGGTCTGAAGGCGCATTGATATCATACTCGGTATAGATCAGATTCTCATAGAATAGACAGATCTGACAGACCGTAATTTACGTAGACAATCGTCTTACAGGTGGCATGAATATATCATCTTATAGATAGATTGCTCTCGCATAAATCATGAATACCGTGCATCGTCTATTACATTACCAGACTACAATCCTACCAACTAGATGGATCAGAATCCTATTAGCGGTAAATGAAATAAATCAACAAGCTATCGTATCTTTCGCCTTCTCTGATTTCCACGAACAATTTGATTTTAACTCTGCATAGCTAAATTCGGTCTTTTATATTCTAATCTAATTTTTCACTGTTCTAGGCTTTAAGAAACGCTTGAAACTCGATCGTTCGCAATAGATAATCGCACAAAGTTTCAGTTCGCCTACCATTACGTACTATCGCTCGATATCTCTTGTATCGATGTTATCCACATTATTAGTCGAACATGTTAGAATTTTCATTTCGAAACGCTTGACGCGACAAACAATCGTACAAAATCGTCGTTCCCGCAAAATAGAAATTCCCATGAAAGAAATTCAGAGTTAAAATTTTCCTCAATTTTGCAATTTTGCTACAAAAGATTCAATAACATTTTTCTCAGCTTCGAAATTTTTCCACGTACTCGGTAATAAATTTTGTAACCTACCTGAGTATCTCGGGGATCGACATTGGTTCGGGCGACTTCTTCAGCTGCTCGTTCGCCATTATAGCGGCGGTTTCCGGACATAGGGCAGCCGTTAATCGCTCTCCAGAGCTGGGTAAAACCTTCCGCAAAGCTTTCGACGGATTATTGCAAGAGCTTATCGTCGCTGCGGTCCTCCTAGCCGCAACACCGTGACTGCTGTCCCTCGGATACAAGTTCGCTGCTCTATGATACAGTACTAATGCCGACTCGTAATCACCGCTGCAAATTGCCATGCAACATTCAAAATTCGTTCGCTTAGCCTCGGCGAAATGGACTGACGATTAATCACGGGGAGAGGACAAGGGTCTGTTTAAACAACGTTTTAACACCGCGTCATCGGTCGTTACCTTGTGTACCGTGGCGATGAGCTAATTTCGATAATTAACCGACGCCTGGAGTACACGCGCAAAATGCCAGAAATTATGGAAAATACAACGGTTGGAACAGGCGCTTGGTGACACACGCCAATCGCTCTTTGTTAAATACGATTATAACGGAAATAGGAAATTTAATTAGATGTGTAGCCAATGAAAAGTTTTCAGTCAATGCTTTGTCGTAGTTTCAATCAGACCAATACGTACATAGTGCATTGCGTTTCAATACAATTGTCTGTAAATTCCTCGGACGTTCTGTCGCTCGGGTTTCGTATTCGGTTTCGGTTTCGAGCTGTGCACGTGCTACCGTGTCTGCTTACCGATCGTATGACAAAGAATTTGTAATATTCGCACGAGCGTAATAACGCCGGCAAAAATTACCCGATTTTGTAGTTTCGTTGTATTCGATCGTTCGAAATTATACCGCGTGAAATTCATGTGGTTTTGAAGCTGTTTACAATGATTCCTCTGTAATTCCCTTGAATGTACCATATCAAAAACTTTGTACAACTCGAAACATTCATTTCGCTTGTTACTATGTATTTGGAGCTGCGGAAGAGATTATTTTGAAGATTTTTACCTTTGAACATATTATCGAAGAATATTACCTGAAATCGAGATACAATTTGAATATTAACAAACGAGAGTTTATCGATGATCACTTTAACGATCTGAAATAACGTTACCGCACGTATAGCGAATGAAACCTAATCCATTAATTACGATACACATCTGTATGTGTGAAATCCATTTCGCAACGTATTAAATTTCAACAACACGCAACATACTAAAAGACAATTGGATTTCGATGCGAGAGCTAACATTGTCATCGACATAACTCTATCATGACGTCTTTAATGGCGGAACATTCACCCTGGTCACACCCTGCGATTAATTATGCAAAAGTAATTAAACGATACAGTCACGGTTTCTCTAATAGTCTGTACGGCCATTTCAAGAAAATAAATTCATTTCGCTGATGAAACTGTTGAAATCGATGCGTAGTAAAGGCCTGACCAAAGCGCGCAATTAAATTTCAAGCGAAACAATTCCAATAATTGCGGTTTAGTTTCTATTTCGACTTTCGGTTTGAAATTTCCGCTTCCACTCGATCCAAAGGGAAAGTTGATAAAACGATAGTACAACGTTGATAACAAAACGAACGCGAACACGACCACCTGCACCGTCGGTTTTTCTACGCTTCGTTGCCTGTATTCTCGAAAAATTCAATTCTATCAAAGCATCGGTGTATCAACATTTACAAAATAAATTGTAACGCGATATACGAACGCTATTCCGGGTCGTGTTTTAAAGCGAAAAGATTTGCTTGGAAAATTACGCTGTCGAAAGTTCGTGAATGAAATTGAAGACGTCAACTGTCCAATTTGTAAAAGTTACTTCTTGGGAGGAGTGGTTAGTCTCTTAGAATCTTTCGAAGGGAATGAAATATAAAAATTTTGCAAATCTTGCCTGCGGTATAGTTGATCAGCTTCGCGATGCAAAGATTGCGCGTATTCTCGATTATTCTTCGAGACCACCTTGCAATCGCTTTTCTTGTGATCGAGACGCGCGCGACTTTCCGCATTTTCCACCGCTTTTCTTGTATCGTTCAAATCCTCCGAGTTGCCTCTCAGGCCTCTGCTCGCGAGGACCGCCATCAACGTTTAAACTGACACAGACGTTTGTCTCGTTGAAATCTCGCCTGAATTTTGCCATGATTACGATACTTTGAAGTTTGCCAATAATTTTACGATATTTCAAAATATAAATGGGATGCTTTACGCATCCGGATTGTACTATAATTTCAGTTATTTCTAAAAGATCGATTTTTATTTTTTTAATCCTCTTACGCGCACGCACATACACGCGCAGAATAGAATGAATATTATTGTGAATTTGCAAGCGAGAGTAATCGTTTCATAAAAAAAAAATCAATGAAGCAGTTGCGAGCTAAATTTATACAATTACATTAACAGCGTATAGGTTCGCGAACTAAACGCAAATTTTGTTAATCGGTCTGCAATCGGATTTTCGCACTGGACTTCAACAGAGGAACTTGAACTATCCATTTAACAGAGCGCAAGCAGACAACGAGAGAACTTATCCTATTAGCCGGTGCAATTTTCCAGAGTCTGCGCGGAAAATCCAGCTACCATCAATTCTATCTTTTTCACCGGGGCAAACCTAAAGGCGGAGATAAAGCGTTACAGACTAGCGAATACGGCGCTATGTCATACTCATTCCGCTTTCAAAGAACCATTCTCAAGAAGATCGACACTGCGGCACCGCCAGAACGTCTAAGATTATTCCTTAAAGAACCGAGAAAAATTCACTCGAACGCTAAACGCCATTCTCTTTCCAAGTTCTGAAGCTTTAATCGTAGATTCGACTGTGAGAAAATCCAAAGAAATTCCCCACTCTCTCTTTCGTACAGGCAGGAATATCCTCATTTTTCATTTATCGATTCGACGACGGTTCCAACCCCTTCGACTTCCTTAAACTCTGGCTTCCTAAACACGTATCGAAATTTCATATCTATCTCCGAGGCTTTATAGTTCGAAACTAGCCGCGTGCAACGAAGGCTGGCCCGACCTTGGTCCAAAAGTTTATAACAAGTATACGCTTCTCACTTGTCAAGGATAACAGTTTCAACTTCTCAAAGTCCTCAAAATCTTATCGGAGATCAACGAAACTTAGTACGTATACTCGTAACTTTACGCTTCATCATTGCCATTCATATTCATCAAAGTACACGACGTTAAGTCCGTCCTTGTATAACTTGTAGCACTTCGACAAAGCTGTGGTTCTCGTTCACCGACCAGGGTATGTTTCGTACTCGCGAACCTGGTGACACGGTCAACCGGACAAACAGAATCGACATTCGCGAGACTGCAGACTCTAAACGTTATTCATATTCATCGAAGTCCGCGAAGTTAGGTCTGTCTTTGGAGGATTCGTATTGCGCCAGTAGAGCTTTCCTGGCCTCTTTATCGGGGTCTCGCGGTGGACTAGGCAATATGGTCATCCTCTTGCAGGGCAACTTGAACTTGCGATCCACGGGCTTGCAGCCAGGCATCACCGACAATCTACGACTAGCAGGAACCGCGTCCATCCGCCTCCAAAGAAAATCCACCTCGCTTTTCATATCGTCTGGCATTAAATTTAATATCAGCTGTTGCCTCGCTGCGATCGCGTCGAACGCCAGCAACTTCTCCATGTCCATGTCGTCGATCACCTCGATCGCGTTTTTGTAGAAGTCGATGAGGAAGTCGAGGCCAAGCTTCTTAGCACTGGACAGTGCCAGAAGAGCCGCTTCTTTCGCTTCGTTGCGGTAATTTTGACTGATTTCGATCCGAATGAAGAGGTGTTGAGAATTTAACATCCACTGCTCGTTGCCTGCTTCCTGTCCCATGTCTCGAGCCTTTTTACCATAGAATCTGGCCAGATCGTAACGACGGATGTCGATCAAGTATTTCGAGAACTCGTGGAACAGCCAAGCTAGCTCCGAAGGTTCCGAGGCCATGGCTAGCCTTCTAGATTTTAAAGATGAAACAAAAGAATAAGAACAATATTAGAGAAATATATATCGCGAAAGAAAAAGAAGAAACCTGCGATACATCTTGAGAGTTTCTTTCCTATCGGTCGCTTTTAACCAACCAATGTCGCTGTCGCGTGGTAGCTCAGCAACTCGAATTCCCAGATGATGTTTCAAGTATGTTCTCTTAAGTTGTTTACTCTCTATCTTTGATAAATCGCGGGTGTCTATATAGGTCCACGCGACCATGTTGTAGAGCGCGTTCAGACACTTCTCCTTTGCAGGAAACATCTTCAGCGAGTACGAGTCGAACTTGTCTTTCACACGGTCCACCATTCTGAAAGAAATCGGATATATATCGAATTATTTTTTCACCGCTTAAAATTCCTAGCTAAAATAAGAAATCCGAAGCTATTTCTGTTCTGTAGTAAAATGTGTTTTACTTTCTTTATCGCTTCCCTATACTTTCCTCAATTTCCCCTGCTGTCTTTCAAAAATTCTCAAAACAAGCTCGTTCTTATCATACTTTTATCACCCCTGAATTATCCAGCATCCACGTTCTTCGCGGAGAAGTATTGGAGAAAATTTCTCAAGAAGATACTCAAGCGTGAAGAGAATTCGATTCTCGTTCAGCAACGACTCACCCAAAAAAGGTGATGTAGTCTTTTCGCATTCTAATTTCGTGCAGGCGATGCAACAGGAAGTCTGCCTGGATAATGATAAGGTTCCTCCTCAACTTCTTCTCATTCTCCAATATCTTCTTGTGACCCGGAGGTATGCGTCTACTCTCGAACATCATCACGTAAAGTGGTCGTCGCATTCGCAACACGTTCTGCCTACGGATACCTCTCCGGTAATTCCTCGATATCACTTGATGAAGCAACACGCTGGTCTCTTTATTCGGGGATTCCAGTTTTTCCGGATGTTCGGCCAGGTGTTGCAAAAATTCGTTATCGTGCGCCAGGTAACCAAGGTATATGTGCGCGAGGATACGCTGCATCCTTCTGAACTCGGCTTCCGCTCGAGCTTCAGGGTAATTCACTTTGAACTTTGTTTGTTCCTCTTCTATGCCTAGAGAACGATATAATTCTCGATTTTCGCTATTTTTTAAAGACAAGAGAGGGTAGTTTACTCTGATTTATGCTACGTATCTTACTACTGGAATGATCGTTTTTACGCTTGCTATGTAAATTCTCATTCATAATTGTTCTATTTGTACGGTGTTGGATTAAACATCTGTAAACGTGCCTGGAAAGAATTCTGCCAGTCGCGATGAATATTTCGTCACGAGTGGGATAGAGACGAGAAATCGATCGTTCGAAGGATCATCGTGCTACCTGCGTATCTACACCGCATCGCATGGGAATAAACGTTGGCCGGAACAAGAGACAAAAGCGTCGCATAGAGGCGACCATCTCTTATTACAGTCTCAAATGAAATCCCGACAGGCCGCGTTTGCTGAGCCAATGAAATATTCCCGAGATAGCATGACGGACTAAAATTTCGAGCAAAGTAGGATTGATCACCGCTGCATTAAGGTAGAATCAATTATTTATTTAAAGTGTTAGCCAAGGTTCCACTTTTATCACTTCGGCGTTCGCGTTTCCTGATTTATCAGGACGCTAGAACGCACCGGGTATCGTTCGTTGAACGTGATGAGAACAACGCCAGCGGCATGTTGTTGCAGCCACCGCGACGATCAAAGGAAAGATTAAAACGTTTAACGAACGACATTATGTTCTAACGAGCTTCTGCTTTTCAATTTTCTCTCTTTATCCTTTTTTCATTCTTCTGTTTCTTTTTCTTTTTTTTTTTTGTCACGAAAAATCATCTTTGCGACCGAAATGAAAAGTTAAAGTCCAATTAGTACGCGAAACGAAGAGTCGAGTCGACGAGCAGAGCGAAAGCTGTTAACTCTGTTCGCCTGTGGCAGCAGGTTTGCTGCGAAAACTGAAACCGTTAAATCAGGAAGTTGCAGCACAACTTAAGAATTATACTCGCGCTACAGTTTTGTCCGCATATTTCGCGCTACTAAATTGACTGCCCCTAGCGTTCTGATGTTTGCTAAACATCTATCGAGGCAGATACTTTTAAATCCTATTTCAAGTTTCTTTATTATAATACTTGCAGCGGCACTCGACAGTAAACTAGGGCCGGGCGACGATAGAGCAGTGGTTAGCGTCGTTGGTTACGAACGTTCAACACCCAGGTTCAAACACCCCGGCACCCGTAGTCCGATTTTTTCTCCAAGATTCCTAACTGAGAAGAAGCCTACCGGATGCGCAGACATAAATCTCATATATCAGCAACAGTCAGTAGTACCTATCTCGGCCTATACAACAGCAGCACTATCACAACCTATCCAGTTCATACTACTAATCGTTAAACTTCTTTTAAACTTATCAAATTTTCCTATTCTGCTTTCCTATTTCTAAAGAAATTATCGTACATCGTTCAGCCTTACCTGCAAGCTCGTCCACTTCCTCTTTAAGTTTCTCGATCAGCAACTCTCGATATACCTGCAGCTCTCGTATCCACGGAGAGAGGAGTTCGAGTGCCATGGATTCGGTATCTAAGCCGATACAGTCCTCGATGGTTTCGTTACCTCGCAATATCCCATGCTGGAAGAACGTGGTTGGATACTTCTGGTAACCCTGATGGGCGTGTACCAAACTGTGTTCGAATTCGCCGATGTAAAATAGCGTCTGCAACTGCATGTGCTTCACATGGGAATGGGTCGGATCTGGAAATGAAAGCAATCTCGGGAAACAGCGAGTTAATTGCGTTTAAACGTCCAGCAGCAACTCAGCGCTGCTCGTTCGAAAATTAACTCTGCCATAGAAATGAACTTTGAGAAGGGAAAAAGCTATGGAACGTGCTCTCTCACGACTTCAAGTTACAGTATGGAAATCATTCGAAATATTTATTCCTTGCCTATGGTATCGTTGACAATAGCAATCGAAGGATGCTTTTGAAACTTGATATTAGAAGGAATTCGAATTTTCAAATACTCGGATTTCTCAAATTACGAATTTCTATGAGGAGCATCTTGCGAACATTTTCTCAGAACGTAATATCTAACCTAATATGAGACACTTCTCGGTGGTTTTCAACGCTCTGCGGAACCTAGCGTAATTAAGTTGCACTTTTCCGAGGCCAACGTATGTCCTAAGATCGTTTTGCTGGCCCTGTTGAATCGCCTTCTCGAAATACATCTCCGCAAGGGGATATCTCTCGAGGCTTGACAGCCGGTAGCCCCATTCTCGGTAAACTATACCGTCCCTGAAGAACAAGGGACCCTCGTCGTTCGTTTTCACCATCTTGCTAGGAATCTAATTTTCCTGGACAAGAAAACGAGAAATCGTTCGAAGAACGTTTGGCGTCGGAGTGCATTGTGAAGCTAACCTGTGCTTTGGATCGATATACAACTCAGGGAATTAAAAGAATCCGCATGGAGCCCAGAGGCTGCTCTTCACTCGTGAATTTTGCGCCGTGGATTGGAAAAGAGCGATCGGTTGCGCGATCACATGTTTTCCAAAATCTTCGTAGTCGTCCGTGGAAGCGAACAAAAGCTTCTGTCAGCTGGTTCTGCATGATATCAGCCGATTTCGATACACGTGTGTAAGATGATTCGTAGAATGATTCAAGCTATTGGATCAAAAAGCTCGAGTTTCTTCCCGTCCTTTCGCTTTTTCTTCGTCTTATTTATCGATATCGCAAATTGAAAGTAGATATTTATTAGAGTATTTGAAAAAAAAACGTAACATATTCTAAGGGGCAGATTTGTCTGGACAGAAACAGGGCGGTTTAAAGGACAATATTATTTTTAATAAAAATTTATTTCCGAATGAAACGATACACCAGTGCACCTGTGATCCTATAACAAAGCACCGACGATAAATTAAAGCAAATCTTCTAATAAAAAGTTACACAAATATACTCTCGACCAACATTTCTTCCAGCCACTGCATTCATTAAACATTTATAAGGGAAATGAACTCGATCTCAAAATCTCCTTGCGTTAGATCAAAGCAAAAAGTTTCGTTGTCGACGATTTCCGAGTCGCGCGAACGCGCAGGCTCCCTTTGAGTCGAGATGCAACGAACGGACGTAATCCGCTTTCGATTTTAAAATAGTAGCATGCACGTAAAGCTCTTTGTGGCATTAATTGTCACGCACGTCGACGGATTACAGCCGAATGACGGGAGAGGAATTACGAGCGTAGCTTTTCTTCTATTCTCTTCACCAATTTTAGAATATCAGACCGCGCGTTCCTTCCTACACCCTTCGTTTCACTGTATCGTGAACGTTTATCAGCCACTACCGCGAAATATTAATGTCTGAATTATTTCATTATTTATCGTTATTTAATTATTTATTATTATCACGAAAGCTTTCGTAATAATCGCAACCTCGAATACTAAATATCTGTATTTAGACTCGAGATAACGACTCGACAAAATAAATAAATCAGCGTCGTTTTACGTTTTGTCGCTCAAAATAATCGTCTTTGATCCCCAAGTGTTGCGATCACGCACTTACCCGATACTACGTACTCGGGTACGTACGTCGCACTTTTATCGGGTCCTTCGATTAAATGTCTAACTGAATGCAAAATGTAATTAGTCGAGTATAATAAAGAAAGAGATTTATGGAATTTTATTACAGGATACTGGTGAAGCAAAGAATTTATTCAGATAGAGACGTCGAGTAATCGTGGACCATCGGTTTAGCTGTGCCCTCGAGATGCGGTGATGGCTTTGCTGTACAGATTCGCGCAGCTGCCTGATAGCAGCAGCACGCGGGTCTTCTCTTTCGTCGTCACCAGGAGCGTGGTACGAGACCCTGAAAGAGACGTCACCAGCAAGGAGCTCGTCTGCGGCTTCCAGCGATGGTCCGTCGCATTTTCGCGTGGAAACAAGGTGATATATGTACAGGGTGGCTCTTCCTTCAGCCTGATATTCGTATTTATTTATCTCGATTCACGCGTTTATCAAATAGTCGTTGGTAAAACAATAACGCGACGAGATAGACAGCAAAACGATAGGAGTGCAGATGAATTTAATTAATTTGGAAAGTAGCACGTTGCCATTAATGAGAAGCCAGCGATAAAATCGCGAATCGATCGTAGCTAATGAATCGGAACTATTTGAAGAGTCGCGCCGAGCGAACCGCAAATACGACCACGGATGTTCGTCATCTTCTTCCGCTGAAATACGAGGCAACTCTCTGGTTGCACTCGCGTTTGCAATTGGTAATTCTACTCCGAGCGAGTCGTGGCGAAAAATGAGACATTTATTTCCACGACTTGGCTATTCATTTGCATACAAACATACGCGTTATTATTTCATTGATGGGACATGTAACGAATTCAATTTCTTTCTTCGACACGAACGAATATTTCAGTCACGATTTAAGCAACTTCGAGGAATGCGTAGGTTACGATCAAACAAATTTCTCGTTTCTTATTCGAACAAACTTTGGAAATGTAGGGGACAGGAAAGAAATTTTTCCGGATCGTTAGGTTACGCTAAGCTTGTTTTCTCTTTTTTATCGAGCACCGTGTAGCGATAAAAATTCTCTAAACGACAAGAAGAAGCTAAACTCACAGCGTAACTGATTAAACGCAGAATTCGAACGTGCACGCGAGTCATCGGACTGAAAAATCAATCGATATTGGGAAAGCTTGAATGCGATTAAACGTAAGGACCGATCGCTGTAGTAAATACAGCGCGCGTAGCAAAATATGCAGCGATTAACTCGATAATTAGATAACGATAATATGAGAAATTAACGAAGCGGCAGTTAACACTTCGCCATCGAGCAGCGAAGGCAGCTTCGCATCGCGTCGCGCATACAATCGCCGATTCTTTGGAGTCGTCGACTGGAAATGAAAGAAACGATCGATGATCGCTCGTTCGTTCGATAGCCTCTGCAGGGTCGACAAAAAGCGGTAGCAAATTCGAATAAAATAATCCGCTTTTTAATATCAAGAACTAAATTTAAAACATTGATTTTGTTGAAAAAAAAAAGATAATAACGATGCAAATGAAGCAATTAAAAGACTAAACTATCGATTCTTTATTATCCTGTGTACAATGTATTTTTGCACCAAGTATTCGCAACAATTATGCACGCGTTTTCATAGTACGTATTAACATGATTGCACAGCGTCTATTTTCTCGCTGCAAACACCGATTAAGCGAAAGCAAATCTGTAGTTGACCTAGTTGTAAAATACGTGCTATCAGATGCTTTGATCCAACCATCTACCACTTTGCATCGATCTCTGTAACAATACTTTCCAAATTCTTTAGACGCGCATAAAAATCAGCAAAAGAACGACCAACCAACTATTTCCTTCCAGACTTCGATTCGTTGTCCATCGGAAGCGAAAATAACCAACTAAACCAACCAACGTAAATTCACTTAGAAATCTCTTTTCGTTATTTAGGTTCTAGGCGCGTATCTCGTATGGCGTGGGGCCTCGAGAAACCTACGGGTCTACGTGGACTTCACGTTCACTCTGCTGAATCGGGAACATTTCTCGATGAACGAAGGTTTCTCCGGAAAACGAGTGAAATTCACGTACGAGGCGCCTGCCCAGGGCAACCGGAACTACATCCCGGTGTCGGACCTCTACAGCCGAAACTTCGCCGACACGAACGGCGAGTTTCAACTGGAATTATCAATGGCAAATGTGAGGACCGTCTACATGACCGACCTTAAAATGCCCAGCAGCACATTCCCAGCTGGACAATCCAAATCCAACAAGCTGGAAACCGATTATTTCGCGTTCGGTGGCTTTGACTGGAACCTAGTAATTTATCCTAATGGAAACAAGGAGTTGGAAGGTTACCGTGGCCACGACAGTGGTATCAGCGTCTATTTGATGAGGATGAGCGGCTTCGATCATCGGTGCAGAGTGAGATACAGCGTGGCCTTGGGCGAAGGAGATCGTAGAATCGATTCGGGACAGATCGAGGATCTGTCGGATGCCGAACGATGCGGGTTTGGCTGGCATACGCGTGTCAGATGGTCGGAAATCGCGCACAAAGGTGTGGTACGGGTATCCCTGGAGATGGTGGAAGCTAGGACCATCTGTGAAGTCGCTGTGCAAGCTCGAGGACCTTCGGTGCTACCAGCAACCCCTTGTTACGATCGTGACAAACAAGCCTGGATGATTCGAGCTGATTTGCATTCGGATACCGTCAGGCTACATCTGGTATACAAGGATATTCACAACGTTCCGAGGAATCATTTGAGGTTGGTAATTACAAGGGAATTTGTAGATTCCAGATATCTGAGTACGTATAGTTAGCGTATAGGATGTCTGAAATTAATTGACCTATGTAGATTAGCAGAGAGGAATTTCTGTAAATCGTACTCGAGAGAATGTAAAATACCGTGGCATTGAAAAGATTATTGATTGAACAATTAATTTCGAACGGATATAATAGTAATAATAGTAATAAGTTTCTTGTATTCAAGAAAGAAATTTCGGATCATCCACGTGTATTTCCATTCGAATCTCGATGACTTATAACAATCCTCTTTCGAAAATAAGTACCTTAGAACTTAGAACGCCATTCTACTGCCATCTCTTATCGAATCTTGAAAGCTAAGTTTAAACGAAGTTTTGATGGAAACTTAACTTTCCTTCGTCAGGTATGTCAGCTGGTCAGCCTATCTACTTCGAGACGAGGAGCCCAGCACGGTGGCGATCAGTCTACCAGGCGCACCTTTCAGCCGCTACTACGCTCAAGAATCCGCAGACGAAGGTATCATCATGGAGACGAATCTTGACACGAACGAGGTGAAGGAAAATCACTGTCCTTTCCTCACGGACAAAGGGCAATTAAGGATCCGGCTGGAATGGAACGAGAGCCACTTGCTGTTCCAAGCAACCTACCACAAATACGACGACGTGTGCCGCATCCACAATCAGCAGATGAGACGGGAAATCGCCTCGCTGCAAGCGGAGAACTACAGTTTGGAGAGGCAGCTGTTCAGTTACCAGAAGAGCCTGGCGTACACGCAAGCGCAGCAGCAACAACAGCAACAGCATCAGAATCAGCCGCATCACGGTGGCCATCAGGCTCACCTGGAGAGATCCGCGTCCACAGACACCGAATATGCCTGACAAGTGGAACAACAGATGCACCCGAACGAGCTGCCAGCCGCCAGTTGTCGGCGACAATTGCCTATCGTGCACGAGGACGATCGTCGCGTTCACCAGAACCTGGTCCGGATGATGGATCGACGATTGAGCAACGTTCAGCTTCAGCAACGGCTGTACGAATCAGAGACGGTCTATCAGCAACGATACGGGGACGGCTCACCGCGTCAAAGTATCGTCGATCAGTCGTCGGAGCCGCCTCCTCATCCTCCTCATCATCGTCATCATCATCGTCTGAGTATCGTGCAGCAACCCAAGTCGGCGCGATCCAGCGTGGGCAGATCGGACAGCGGGTCGGATCGTGGAAACGATCGTTACTCTGGCTACTATTTGGGGTACGTCGGTCAGGCAGCGCACAAAAGACGTAGGACAACTTTCTGGGAGACCCTGACGGGTCTTGTGTGCTCATTGGGCGCTTTGGCTTCCAGGGCTGCCAAGATGGCCACCAGACGGGGAGAGCCACTTTGAAGAAGCTTAAGCCCGTTCTCGCGGACCAGTGGACTGGTACGTTTTACGTTTGGGATCACGAAACGGATTTCCAAGATACGGAGCTACGAATTGATGATTTATCGTGACACGTTGCGAACGCGTCCCGGAAAGCAGAACGTGACACGGATAAGAAAGAGGGAGAGAGGCAGAAAGAAAATATTAGGGGGAAGTAGAGAGCAAAGATCATCGATGGACCAGAAGTACGACCAAGAACGTCACTCGTTTCGTATATTCGTCGTATTTAATTGCTGTATCTCGAGGGATCGCTTGTTTCGAGGATGGAATACTACCCAGCGGTGTCAATGTTAAATAGAAAAACGAAAAGAAAGATATAATGTTTCATGTTCCTGGTGGGCGCTATACAAGCTCGTGACCAGATTACCGATCAACTCGACAATATAGCAGATGGATGAGGCGAGCAGAGAGAAAAAACGACGGCGGCAAGAAAAAGATAACGTAGCGTGCGGACTCGGAAGGTATCGTTCGTACAAGGACAAGCGATCGATCATTTTTCGTCCATTTCTTTGTCGTTGGAGTCCGGTTTAAGGAAAAGAGCAAGAACGAAGAGGGTGAATGTCTCGTTTGGTTTGACCTTCTCGACGATAAGGCAGCTCCGGCCGAAGAAATTTCGGCTGAATGGAACCAACGCGACCTATTCGGAGCTGTTCTTTCTCGAGAATGGTGACAGGAGGAACCAGGAAGGTTGTTGACGTTAAAACAGCAAATCGTTCCGAATGTTGGTCAGATTTCACATACGTATACATACACGCATACACTTGGTAGGAATCAGAAAACCAAGAGAGGGAACCGAAAGAGAAAAGATAAAAGGGAAAGAGAACAAGGTCTCCCTCGATCGTGAATTCTATTATGCACGTATATGAATACAATTCTATCTACTACTTTGTCAATTTACTAAGGGAAAACAAGAAACAAAACAAAAAACCTATTTTCCTCTAAAGACTTTTTTCACCTATCGTCTACGACTTCTTTGATAATAAAGAATCCGTGCGCGACGTAGTCGTCGAGTCGTAACAGCGTAACTTATTATTACCGTAGAATACTTACACCTAAACGAATGCAAACAAAAAAAAAAATTTAATAATAACAGTACTAATGAATAATACCTTAGAGTGCAGTCGATGTTACATAAACCGAAAGTAGGGATGAACGAAGGACACGATTTCTCGTTGCAGAGTAATCGACGTGGTACACTATAAACATGCGTCTTTACACTTCTACACGAATGTACACATATACGAAAATACACAGGCATCAACGTTCGTACTCGACCATCGGCTTTTTTTCAAAAACTAAAAAGCCAAAAAAGACCAGGGTAAAAAAGAAACAAAAAACGATGCGAACGATTCGTGTGAAATTTTTCACTGTCCCATCGGGTGTATACGTTCGATTTATTTATTATCGTGCGAAGAGCTCGTTGATTTCTTTCGTTAATTACCCAGTCCAATATATGTATGTGTGTCAAATCTATTTTTCTCAAAATTTAGCAATTGCGAGTCGCGCTAATCGTCGTTTTATCGATAAATCAAACTATCTGGAGATATAAGTACGCGTTGTAGACAACACGATCGAAGGTGCAGTTTGAACCAGAGAGAAATTAACGAAGATACCCGTACAGAGTGAAAGAAGCCAGAAACAACGTGGCGTGTGTAACATTTACAGATCGAAGAGGTATCCAGTTTATTGAAAATGTCAAAAGTACATATTCGTTTCTCTAGCCACTCTGGCAACGTTCTACTGTACCTTTGTACCAGTATAGTGTCACCGTACGTGCGAGGTCTTCGACGATATTGCACATTTTAGCCTTTACGTCGCGCGCTTGTCACCTAAATTCTTATCGCCTATCGCCAGCTACTCGTCATCGATGTTTCCATGTTACCTTTAATCCGTACACAATTTTCAAATGGGACGTATTTTCCAAAAGACACAAGTTTATTATCTTCTATAGTCCTTCGGGATCTCTAAAATTCTTCCGAATGTCATATTCTTTTTATCATGGAAGTCGATCTTTGAGAAACACCCGTATCCTCGTAATCTCTGTGTCCCCTATCCCCAAAGAGTCGCCAACTCCTTGTGCTTCGTCGCTCCTAAATCCCAAAACAGTTTGTCCCCGCTTCGATTCTCCTTTAGGCAAGAACAGATACTGGACAAAGACCAGATCCACAACAAACCCACAAACCAGACAGATGTAGATATCCCTTCGTGCAAACTTTCCTCTAGCTACCAACAACTCCTACACCGTTCTTCCCCGTTTCCTAAAGTAGCTCGCAGATCAGTACCTTTCATCTTCTGCTCCAACTCACGGTATGGTCTACCTAGAGACAAGAAAATGTAATTCCGTATTACTATATCGGTTTACTTCGTACAATATTGATTTTCTTCGCAGTAGTAGAAGCAGAAATTCTACGACCAATTCGCCTGAAACCTGTCTTTTCTCGTCCTGTGTCTCGGTCCCGATATGACGTCCCATTTGAAGACATCGTATCCTGCTCTTATCTTCATTCCCCGTGTAATCGTAGCTACAAATAACGGTGTACATCGAAACACATGTACATGAACGATACGTGCACGTCGGTGTTCGCATCAGGCTACATCGGTACCGAGGACGATCGATACACCACCGTTAGTCCATACACCGCATATACGTTTAACAGACCACCATGAATCGTCGTGTACCGCGCACGTGTACCCGCAGGTGATTCGGGCTCGCTTGTACACACGAAACTCGGGTCCCGCGATGCCCGATTAAAAGCATGGACGCGAAAGCCGATGCCATTCCATGGAATCCTGGGATATCCCTAATTTCCTCCGGTTAGCTCCGTTGCCTGCGATCTTGATTCCAGACCTCGATACGTCTCCAATTTCATTTCGCCTTCGCTATGCACGTCCTTTTCACTTCTCCAAGTTAATAGATTTAGCTTGACCTTGGTGTTGCAATTAAAGTATTCGTGACCTCGAAGAAGTAAACTTCGGAGGATTACAATTTAAATAGATTTATGGAAATAATATATCGACGAAGAAAAGTTGTAATGCTCGGTCATTTTTGATGTTCCAAGTGTTTTTATTCGAAACGATCATAGAGTTTAGTTAAAAGAACGGCAAGATTCACGAAATTCGAGTTGATGCTTTTAACCGGAAGCGACGGTCGAGAAAAAAATGCGTCGCATGAAAGTTGTATCCCTCCTCTGAAGTAGCGGAGTCTGTATACTTTGTATATAACTGTACTAAACTGTCGAAAAACTTTAAGAGTGAAAATTAAAAAAGAGAGCTGTGCCTACATATTATGCGCGATGCGGAGAATGGTTTCAAAGCGAATCGCACGATCGAGAACCTCGTCGTTTCGTTTTAACGATAATTACATTCTGCGATTGGACTTTGACTCGATTGTTTCTGTTGCATTTTCGTGGAGACCGCGAATAATCTACGTGTAATTCGTATAATTACGTATAATATTGTATACGTATACAATAATTTGTATAATTCGTGTTATTCCGTCTATTTTAGTCGCAATAATATTCAGTGCTGCTTTTGGAAATATTTGCCATAATTCGTGCTACAATTTCAAATAAAGTATCTACCACGAAATGTGCTCTAATTTCCAGTATAATTGCCACTTGAAACGGACACTAATGGTGGAAAAATTATTCGCCACGTGTTCTTACTAACGATATTGTAATCTTCCTCGGTAGGTCGAGCTTAGAAACCGATAAGGCGGGTCTTGATGGGACTAGCGACGATAAAAACGATAAATAACTCGTTCCGTTAATTGCGTTTCTGATATTTTTTGCGTCTATTCTCCCTTTCGAGTCAGCGAAAATTTATTCGATTCCCAGGATAGAACCGGGCTGAGATCTCCGCGAAATCCTATTTCCATTTTAATATGGCACCCATTTAAATTCATATAACCGTCAAGATTACGTTCGACCGTGTATCTTCTTCTAATCTTGCGATAACAAAGATCCAAAGTATGATCAAGTTAGTAAAAAAGAATGAGGAAAAAACATTGAATTTGTCACGACGGGAAGAAGATAAAAGAAAAAGAGAGAAATTAGAAAAATAACGAAACGATGAACGAGAGACACGATCGTGCGATCCTCGATGATTCTACACCTACGGGGGTTGAGGATCGTCGCAATCTAAGTGTAACACGTTTCTGTAAACGTAACAGAGAAGAAATAATAGCGGAAGCGATTCGTCGTGCAGCGCACGCGCTTTCCACCAGTATCCTCGATTCAAAATTTTCTTATCTAGTATACAGTTGTGTGTACAGGACCACAGACGGGAATCGTCGACGTCAATGCGTCTCCGAAGCTTGTCGCATCTCCCGCCTAACGGCCAACGATCCTCGAACTTGGTTCTAGTCGACATTAATTAAAAACAAAAAAAAAAAGAAGAAAAATAATGAAACGATCTTTTTGAAACGATCGCGATTCGTTCGAAATATCGGCGACCAGGCCAAGTTGAAGGAATTTTTTATCGGCGACAAAAGACCGATCGTATCTAATGTCATTGTATTGTTGTGTAATTTGTCAGATTTTATCGATCGTAACGTTCGCGTCCGCACAAATGCGAACACCTAAAGAAACGGAACCGTTTACAGGAATCTCTCGTGTGTCCCTCCTTGCCAGTCTAAGCTCTCCTGTTTCACGGTTTTCAATTTTCTATCGAAACGCTTGCGACAGGCGTGACAGCAGCTCTGACAATCGCACCTAATCCGATCGAACGATTAAATTCACGCGTCTGTCAGCGCGATAATCCCGCGATCTCCGCTTTGGCACGTTCTAATCGATGCGATACCTGATAAATGTTGCACGACACCTGGGAGAATTTATTAATGTCTGTATAACAAAGAATGCGTACACGTTTCAAGCTATTCGATAGTCGCAATAGGTGTGACTACACCGAAAGAAGAGGAATTCGAATAGCTCGAACGTGGAATGTTCTATCCAATATTCAGGATACGTAGCGTATTCGATATCTAGATGTTTTTAATATCTAGAATAGCGACAGCAGGAATTTCAGCTACAATTGGCATTCAATTTTCAGAGCTCTCGGCGACCTACGCCACTTTATAGCAATCCTTATCCACACATTTTCCAAATAGTCTCATTCGGTGTCTAATTTTTCCTCCGCGATAATTCAGAACCCTTAGTCACCTTGTATGTCACACGATTGTCTAGTTTATTCCAGTTTCTTATACTATATAGAAAATTACACTGTGTACTGTGCGAGTAAGATAATACAACATTTGAATAATGTATAGATTAAACGATAGTACAATATGAAGACAAATTAACGAATAGCTTCGTTTTATCTCCCACGTGTCGTCGCATTAGCGAGCTCCCGAACACGCTTCGAAGTCCTCGTGCCCGCAATTCGGCTCGGCACTTCAGTCAATTAAACTCACTCTCGCGAGAGTCGGATGCGGGCCAGAGAAACGCAGAACACCAAGCGGAATTACATACGCATAACTATACACTACGATATAGTAGACACGCTCGGAATTTATCATCGGCATGTCGGCATATCAGTTGGGTCAAGGAGCCTCGTTTCTCTCTCTCTCTCTCTCTCTCTCTCTCTCCCTCTCTCTCTCTCTCTCTCTCCCTCTTCTTTCAATTTCCTTGATTCCATCTCTTATTACCGTATCTTCCAACCATCTTATACGTTTTTTCTTATCTCTTATTATCTGCAATTTCTTCCTTCGGTTAAAGAGAGGTCGTTTCGCGTCTCCTATGCTTTTGCGTCAGCGTGGATCAATTGACCCTTTTTATGGAGATCGACGCGTGTTGCTGAGCGATCCATCGTTGAAAAACAAGTGGAAAGATCGATCATGCGTTCTGAAAAGATCGTTGTGGATTATTCATGCAGATTTTTTGAAACTTTTGAAATTTTAGTTTAGAATGAAAATCACGGAGATTGGGAGATCTTAAGCGATGGAACCGAATAAAAGGATGGTCCCATAAGCTTTTGTTCGGGCTATGTAAATATCGGACATCAGCCTCTTATCCGTTCGCTCTCCGAACCTGAACCAATATTGCTCTTCCCCGCTCCAATGTCGCATAATTAATTTTTGTCCATCGATAT